CTGCCTTTTTTCTTGTTTCTGATTTTTGTAATTTTTTTTTTTTTTTTTTTTATATTTTAGAGTGCTGGACGCCTTCTGCGGGCTCTTTTTGAGATTGTCTTGAAACGAGGATGGGCACAGTTAGCTGAGAAGGCTTTGAACCTATGCAAAATGGTGACTAAGAGGATGTGGAGTGTCCAAACACCCCTTCGTCAGTTTAATGGAATTCCAAGTGATTTATTAACGAAGTTGGAGAAGAAAGATTTGGCTTGGGACAGGTATTATGACCTATCATCACAAGAGATAGGTGAACTTATTCGTGCACCAAAGATGGGAAGGACACTTCATAAATTTATCCACCAGTTTCCTAAACTGAATCTTGTAGCACATGTGCAGCCAATTACTCGCACAGTTTTGAGGGTTGAGCTGACAATAACTCCAGATTTTGCATGGGATGACCGGATTCATGGATATGTTGAACCATTCTGGGTTATTGTGGAGGATAATGATGGGGAATATATTCTTCACCATGAATATTTTATGCTGAAAAAGCAGTATATTGATGACGACCACACACTGAATTTCACAGTGCCAATATATGAGCCTCTTCCCCCTCAGTACTTTATCCGTGTTGTTTCAGATAGATGGCTTGGATCGCAATCTGTTTTACCTGTTTCTTTCAGGCATTTAATCTTACCTGAAAAGTATCCTCCACCAACTGAATTATTGGATCTGCAACCACTTCCTGTGACTGCCTTGCGAAATCCATCATATGAAGCACTTTATCAGGATTTTAAGCATTTTAATCCTGTTCAGACCCAAGTGTTCACAGTTCTGTATAATTCTGACGACAATGTCTTAGTTGCTGCTCCAACAGGGAGTGGTAAGACTATATGTGCAGAGTTTGCCATATTGAGGAATCATCAAAAGGGGCCTGATAGTGTTATGCGTGTTGTTTATGTTGCACCTGTTGAAGCTCTTGCCAAGGAGCGGTATCGTGATTGGGAGAGGAAATTTGGTGGTGGTCTTAAATTGAGAGTGGTTGAATTAACTGGAGAAACTGCCACTGACTTGAAGTTGCTTGAGAAAGGTCAGATTATTATTAGTACTCCTGAGAAATGGGATGCTTTATCCCGCCGCTGGAAACAGAGGAAACATGTTCAACAAGTTAGTCTTTTCATCATCGATGAGCTCCACTTGATTGGAGGTCAAGGAGGTCCCATTTTAGAGGTTGTTGTGTCCAGGATGAGATACATTGCTAGTCAGGTTGAAAACAAGATTCGAATTGTTGCTTTATCTACTTCACTTGCAAATGCAAAAGATCTGGGAGAATGGATTGGAGCTACCTCCCATGGACTTTTCAATTTCCCCCCTGGTGTACGTCCTGTGCCTTTGGAAATTCACATTCAGGGTGTAGATATTGCCAATTTTGAGGCAAGGATGCAGGCAATGACCAAGCCAACTTACACTGCAATTGTTCAACATGCCAAGAATGGGAAACCTGCTCTCATATTTGTACCTACAAGGAAGCATGTTCGGCTGACAGCTGTTGATCTGATCACATACTCTGGTGCAGACAGTGGGGAGAAGCCATTTTTATTGCGGTCCCCAGAAGAGCTTGAACCTTTCCTTGACAAGATTAGTGATGAAATGTTGAAAGTCACTTTACGTGAAGGAGTGGGGTACTTGCATGAGGGCTTGAACAGTCTTGATCATGACATCGTGTCACAGCTATATGAAGCAGGCTGGATTCAAGTCTGTGTTTTGAGCAGTTCCATGTGTTGGGGAGTGACATTGTCAGCTCATTTGGTAGTTGTGATGGGCACACAATACTATGATGGGCGGGAGAATGCACAGACAGATTACCCTGTTACTGATCTTCTGCAGATGATGGGTCATGCCAGCCGGCCCTTGGTAGACAATTCTGGAAAATGCGTTATTTTGTGCCATGCTCCTCGAAAAGAGTACTACAAGAAGTTTTTATACGAGGCATTCCCAGTTGAAAGCCATCTTCATCACTTCTTGCATGATAACCTGAATGCTGAAATTGTTGCTGGAATTATTGAAAACAAGCAAGATGCTGTAGATTATCTTACATGGACATTCATGTACAGGAGGCTCACACAGAATCCCAACTATTACAATTTGCAAGGTGTTAGTCACAGGCATCTTTCTGATCACCTCTCAGAAATGGTGGAAAGTACATTGAGTGATTTAGAAGCAAGCAAGTGCATTACTATTGAGGATGATATGGACCTTTCTCCTCTCAATCTTGGAATGATAGCATCTTATTATTACATCAGTTACACAACAATTGAAAGGTTTTCATCATCTGTGACTTCGAAAACCAAAATGAAGGGTCTTTTGGAGGTTCTATCTTCAGCTTCGGAGTATGCTCAGATTCCAATACGACCTGGAGAGGAAGAGGTCGTTCGCAAGTTAATTAACCACCAGAGGTTTTCCTTTGAAAACCCCAAGGTTACAGATCCGCATGTTAAAGCTAATGCTTTGCTTCAGGCCCATTTCTCTAGGCAATTTGTTGGTGGGAATCTTGCATTAGACCAGAAGGAGGTGCTTCTTTCTGCAAATAGACTGCTCCAAGCAATGGTAGATGTGATATCGAGCAATGGTTGGCTGAGCCTGGCTCTTCTTGCTATGGAAGTCAGTCAAATGGTGACACAGGGAATGTGGGAACGAGACTCCATGCTACTACAACTTCCTCATTTCACAAAGGATCTAGCTAAGAAATGCCAGGAGAACCCAGGGAAGAGTATAGAAACTGTGTTTGATTTATTAGAGATGGAGGATGATGAAAGGCAGGAATTGTTGGGCATGTCAGATTCACAGTTGTTGGATATTGCCCGATTTTGCAACCGTTTCCCCAATATTGATTTGTCATATGAGGTGCTGGACGGTGACAATGTACGTGCTGGGGAGGATGTCACTTTACTGGTCACTCTTGAGCGAGATCTTGAGGGCAAGACAGAACTAGGACCTGTTGATGCTCCCAGGTATCCAAAAGCCAAGGAGGAGGGATGGTGGCTTGTTGTTGGTGATACCAAAACCAATCTTTTGCTTGCCATTAAACGGGTTTCCCTGCAGCGGAAGTTAAAAGCCAAACTGGAGTTTGCTGCTCCTGCTGATGTTGGAAGGAAATCCTATGCGCTTTATTTCATGTGTGATTCATACCTGGGCTGTGATCAGGAGTATGGTTTCACTGTTGATGTGAAGGAAGCTGATGGTGATGAAGATAACTAACAGCATAGAATGAAAAGGTAGTCTTTTGTTCTGGACTCCTTAAACATAATATGCTTGGTGAACCTACTATTGACATCAATTGGCTTATTTTATCTATGATATACTTGTCAGTAAAATCTATTATGATGTTATAATAGAATGTTTAGTCAGTTTACTCTGTTTAGGGACAGTGACTAAATATTTGTTATTCAATGGCATAGGGATAATCTAAATCAAACTCTGGTGGCAGCTTGATGTGTCGTGTTACTTGAGAAATTGTGATTCTGATACTTGATTTTCTTCATGTCTGTTATTTGACACACTACATTGTCCTTGATGGATTTGCACTAAATAAATTAAATTTGTTTCCTCTTCACAGTTTGGTGACGCTTCAAATGGGAAGGACAATATAGCACTGCTGAAGATTGTGTCTTATTCTTGTATGCACGATACTTCATCCATATCATATGTATGATTTACTTGTTGATTAAGTAGTAATGAGTAATTAAATGCTTATAATTGTTCGTTGTGGCAGGCAACGGAGGTAGGAAGTAAAGTAGCATTAGGAAGTAACACTGGCGGAGCATTAGGAAGTGGATAGGTTGCTTTTTGAGGCGCTGGAAACCTATTTTTATTTTGCTTTTGGGATGAACAGTAACTATTGTCATCCAAGGACGAAAGCGCAGACAAATGCATGTTGTACGGCAGCTTGTATAGATGTATGTTTATATTGCTGTTTGGTTAACCAAAGTTGTTTATTCCCATCAACTTGCATCAGTTGCCACTATTCTCAATCATTTGATTTATGCTCAATAATGTGAACACTAGTTCTTACTGAGGATAGTTTTGGGGATTTTTATAGGTAACTTGCATGTAGTGAGATGATACGTTGAAGTTGATCTACTATTATTTTTTCTATTGTATTGTAGATTAGCTGGTTTTGTTATTGACGCAAAGGTTTACGCTTAATGTTTCTCTTTCTAATTCGTTTTTATAAGAATGCTAAATTAAATGCATCTTACCGAGTCTTTATACGAATGCGAATTACATTCTTTGAGATGAGATTTTGAAATTATTATTGTCTATGCATTTGGATATTTAGTGCAAAGGATTATGTTATTTTATAATGAAATCGGTATTTTTAAGACATTTGATTGTAAAATTTATTTTGAATGTATTTAATGATTCGAATTATTTCAGCTAATTCATGTGAACATCTGAAGAAAATCTAATACTAGCAACAACTTTTATGTGTTGGCTTTAAGTAGAAAACAAGTAAAATAAGTAATTGGTTCGATCGCAAAGAGAATTTGAGGTTGTACGAGCATCGCATCATTGTGGGTCTAGAAATTAATACAAATCTTTTACGCCATGGCTATGCAATTATAACTTGCCTTTTATTTATTTCTTTATTTTATCGTGATATAAAATTAGATAAGGGAACGTGATTTCCCTAAGAATCAATAATGCTTGAGAATACGTTTTAAAATTAGGTTACATTTGTAATAACGATTATTTCAAAATTTACGTTCTTAGAACTAAACACTCTTTAAATAAATGCACCCATAAAAATGTAGGGAA